ATCCAGGTTTCCAAGCGAGCGAAGACAGTACATGTCATTCCTCTTGTTTAGATCAAGATATTTTCCATGCAATATTTATGAAGTGTTAATCTGATTGGGATCTTGACCATTTCTACATCCTTATTTAGTGACGCAGTAGGATGTGCAGACATTCTTAGGGCTTCATGAACAAAATTACGCTACCAAACATCGTTGTCCCGGGCGGGATTCCGAATCTCGAACGGTATATAAAACGTGGTGCGCATGGGGTACAAAATCGGCGCCTGTGTGGGAATAGGGCCACATGCGTAAACGTCTGAGAAGGAGAGCCGAGTAGACAGATAATTATGCCATTACCTAATCACTGAAGAAAAAAAAATAAAACAGGTTTCGATCTCCCACTGAAACGGGTTCTGTTACAACTTAGATCGGCGTATATTACCCAAGACTCTGATGTAGCACAACACACAAACATGCCAACTGTTCCTAAGAGCTCGTCAAAACAAACAGTAAATATTATATCCCGCATAAGGACAAGTTATTTCCGAGCAATGCCCTGTACTCTCAGTTCCACTCGATTAATGATCACGTTAAAGTCGCGTAGTATTCAGATGTTGTAACGCTAAACCAGCATCGCCTGACAGAAACTACGTTCTTGAGGGGAGATGAATCTCCCCCCTAGGCTGACGGGCCTAGCGACCTTTGGCTCCGCCTGTCTGTAGCTATTAAATCTACACACTAAAAGCAGACCAGCTTTTAGGGTTCAACACATCTTTATATTACCAAACGTTTCTGTAACACACGCTCTCCCGGAACTGGGAATCCCAGATACATAACAATGATGTGTCGTATTCGGTTCCGAAATCAGTCAAAATTGCAGACTTCTCAAGAAGGGCTCAGCTCCACAAGTGAGTGTGTGAGTGAATGAGCAGTACATAAACATGGTCTCAATCTTTAATTCTACAAATCCTAGAGTAATGTTAAGGTGTGTCATAACAAACTAATACTAATACTAGTCCTTGTGTAAAGAAACGGAGGTATGTTTTCTTCGAGAGCATTAACCTTTCTTAAATTGATGTCAGAGTGACTGTTTAATAATTAATCGATTTTATTTTTATAAGATCTTACTTTCTCAAGGCGATGACTCAAGAATATTCTTTTCTTGGATGTAACGCCATGTAGTCCGGCAAAACTTTACAGACGTTTCGGAGGAATTTACTTATCTTCAGACATTGCTCATTCTTCGATCTTGATGATGTTCCTCCGAAACGTCCATAAATAGCCGTCAGCTTACACACTGTCGTATCCCAGATGTAATACTCTTCGGCATTATTTTTATTCTTATCATAACGGGTACTTACTACCGAGATCATCTCAGGTTGAGCCAGAGTCTATCCAAAATGTTTTTCACACAATTCAGATATTCCAGCCCATTTTTTTAAAGACTCTTAATAATTTCAAACGTTTCTATGACGTTTACACGTAACGCACTCCGAATTTTATCTCGCACCGCTGTTCTACACATAAATCCGTGACAGGTGTGTCAAGCTCTGCTGTGTCAACCCCACAGACAGTCTGACTACAATCTGACAGACGACTAATAAAACGAATTTGCGAGATGCAGAGGTTACTAACTGTCCTATTACTTTCATATTCTCCTCCGCATAAGTCATTTATTATTCCATTCAAAATACGCATGCCTAATTACTATTTAATTGTTAAAGGTTATCTCGTTGGTGATGCATGTTACAATCACACATTATGTTTTGATTTGGATTTCTGAAATACCAGATGGAAATAATGCCCTTGTGGATAAGGTAATGAACGTTCGCTTCACACGAAAGTCAAGGAATTTCTTGACTTACTGAGTGATTATAAAGGTGCGTCCACATTACTCGTCCTCGTGCTAGTGTGACTCTCTATGCTCGCGAGTAATGTGGACGATATGACAAGTCATCAGACAAGCAAATTTTAAATTTTTAATTTAAAAACTATAACCAATAATTTAAACTACAACTACAGTCTATACACACTACGAGTAAATATACGGATCCTCACGCGCCGAAGCCTGGCGAGCAACTGAAGTAGTGTGGACGAAGATTTACGAGCACAAGTAAAAGCGAGACTAGTCTCCCGACGAGCACAAGCCTGGCGAGCACAAGCACGAGTAATGTGGACGCGCCTTAAGATTCTGAAGAAGGACCCTACTACATAAAGTTAATTAAATGTGCAATGAAGGTAAAAGAACAGGACTAAGAAAATAGGGGAATTAGAAGACAGAATATAGACAATTATTTAACTACTGCTGCACTTCAATGTAACAGAACAAATACTAAAGCCCCACAAAGCTAAAAATGTGTTACCGGAAACATGAACCATAGTAAGGCATTTTATGACCTAGCAAAAGGATCCACATTCAAACGACAATTCAAGTACTTTCGTATTCTTGTCGTTAATTTTAAAATAAATTAACAGTTTGTAATAGGTAAATTACAAACAGGCTAAAAATTTTATAGGGCACGGCAAATACCAGAGAATTCACTGTCGCTTATTTAAAGATGCAAATCTGAATGCAATTATAAATTATTTAAATTTTTTACTTTACAAATCTATTAAAAGAGGGGTTCTTTTTGTGTGAAATGAAAAACCTTACATTAGTAATAGCAAATTAACTGAATTCATTAGAACAACAATACAGCAACGATCATAAGAGATGCCAGACACGATATATCGCATCTGTATTTGGGTTACTGTTCATCTTTCATGATATACGAGAGTATAATAATTTGAGAACAAACATTTGAAAATCTCATGTAACTTGACTGTATGTCACATATACTTCGGGCAACAACTGGAAAAATTTCAGATCATAAATTAAATCTTACTACATGTACAAAAGTCTTCCTTGAGAAGCTAGTAATTGATCTGCAGTTCATAAAGTTCTCTTCCTTTCATGTGACACGGCTTATTACAGCAGCAGCAATGCCCTCATACTGGATCCCATCCTCAGCCCGGCGAATTCAGTCCACAGTTTGAGCTCGAATTCTTTAACATCCATTTTAATATTATGCTATTACATTGACTCGTGGCCGATAACAGCGGCTGCGACATCTAAGGCATGAAACGTCTTCGCCCCTCTCAAACACTCGAATCTCTGGTTCGAATCCCAAACGATGCAATGATGTATCAGTTTATTCTGTGGTTGTGTTGTCCTCTGTAGGTAGCGGCATTACGACGGGCTAATTCCTCGTCCAAGGGGTCCTATCGACTGTCTATAAGACTAAAGAAACTGAAGTGAAAAGGCTTTCCACGGATGCTCTATGCTACAGAGAGGGAAACAGGAAATTAACTAATTAACAGCAGCCATCGTCCATGTCTCAGAATTATTCATTTCTCCCACGACCATTAAGAACAATTAGTATATTTAGAATCCTTAAAAATTTAAAAATTAACCTCATACGGAAAATATATAAATATCAAAATGTTACTGTGTACCATACGAAAACGCAGTTCTGTAAACTTGTCAAAATGTGACTACAGAGCTGCATTTTTTTTATTGCTAGTGGGGTGGGACTAAGTCCCTTGTACTATGGCCACCAGCCCCAGATGACAGGTGAGGGTGATTGTGGAGCAATTGGTGGGATGAAGATTGGCAAGGGAAACCGAAGTACTCGGAGAAAACCTGCCCCAGCGCCACTTTGTCCACCACAAATCGCACTTGACCAGACGCGGGATCGAATCAGGGACGCCGCGGCGGAAAGCCAGCGAGTAACCGCTTGAGCTATGGCGCGGCCATACAGAACAGCATTCTCTGGATGGCTGTTGTGCGGAATAGTCGATGTGGCCTCCTCTAAGAAAACTAATATTAAAAAGCGTTCACTCAGAAGGAAGACTTGAAGTCCGTACATCTATGCGGCAAACAATCGCTAAAAATACTGAGCAATCATAAACATCTTTCGGCGCAGTAAAACGTAAACATTCTTATAACACTAAGTAACAGATGTCTGTACAAATAAACATTGCCACTATTCCGGCGTGTTGACCACTGGGAAGACCATGGCGTAGGTGAGTGGACAATATTACAATGGATCTCAGAGAGATATGGTGGTATGTTAGGGACTAGACTGATCTGGCTCAGGATAGGGACGGTTGGAGGGCTCTTGTGAACACGGTAATGAATCTTCGGATTCCATTAAATGCTGGGAAATTCTTGAGTAGCTGCACAATTGGCAGCTTCTCAAGATGGGCTCAGCTCCATTAGTGAATGAAAGAATTCCAAAGAGTGAAAATCTTCTAACATAATATCTAACGTAGTTTCATTGAAGTCTCTAAGCTTATTCTATCCATTTTTCCACTTATTCTTTTCTCGATATAAACTTGAACAGCATTTTGCACATATCTAAATATTCTCTGCACCCATGTCCTGTAGCAAGCACAGAAATGGCCTTCGTAATTTTGAACTTTGGGGATACGAATCCTACCTCAACATTTCAATTCTACGCTACTTTCCCTTTTTAATATAAAAACACTTTTTATCAGTACTTAGCAAATCCGACGTATCTCTTGCTCTGCAATCTAAAATACAGTATAAATATATATAAACAGGCGGGGGGGGGGGCATTCCATGCAGTCAGGAGAAACGGAAGAACTTTCATTATCCCCAAAAGACTGAGGCTGCGAAGAATAGGCCGTGCTCCGTTTAAGACAAGCTTCAGAAAACAGAGTTACAGTTCTTCGCGAAGGAAGCAGTACACAACTTTGCACACACTCTGAACTTTATTGCAAGACATAAATTTGGCCCTAAAACGCAAGTGATATATACATATATGTCTCCTCAGTCGTTGCTTTAGGATCGAAAGCTAAGTTTCATTAAAGTAACTGTTATCGGTTTAAAATGCGGTAGCATATCGCCCAAAAACAAAAAGAAACCGCGCAGCTCACAAACAAATTCTTTTTCACAAAGTAATCTATAAATTCAATCATCACGTTTGAACAATAAAAGAGAAGCAGAAAGTACTCACTTGGTTTGTCGAGTTCAGTAAGAAGTTCTTCAGTGGTTGCTTGGCCGGTCGTCGCGACGCCTTGCAGCAAAGACGTCGTCAGCACCAATATCATTATAGTTACGCTGTTCGCCATCTCGATTTTCAGGATGACTTAAATCTTCAAACTTTGTGTCAACTGATGTTTACGATGATAATGTTGGTAGCATATGCCACACACTTCATGTATCTCTGAAATTTACATCCACTTGTTCATGTATCTGACTTATAATCACAATGGATAATGGAGTGAACTGTTAACTTTCTACAGATCACATTTGGGGGAACAGTGGGTAACATACACACACGGGGGTATTTCTAAATTGTATTCAGATTTAAATGTGTTTATGAGCACTATATTTATATTGGGAATTTTGTTCCTGCTTCTTAGGAATCTCACACTTAAATATGAAATAAACTTTCACAGGTTTCACAGTTTGAACATTCAAGTCTTTTGTAACACTAATTACAAGCTTATATTCTGTAGCAATTACACTCCCGAAGTTTCTCCCGTCCTACATTAACCGATCCAAGTTGAGATGACTTTAATTCTTAACAACTGGTTAGTAATTTATGGAAAGACAGAGAAATTTAGCGGGAGGCATAATAATGATTTCACTATTACACTATCTATAAAAATTAATCTTGTGCTGTACATGAAGTTTATTTTCGTTCGTGGTCAATGAATATGAGTGCTGGGTTATATATCAATGACTCCAAAGTTGTTAGCTCGACAGCAGTTAGGCCAGTTTCTCTTCATCTGATGAGAGATGCGAGCTGTAACTTGCACAATACAAGCTCAACTACAGAACGATAAATGTCCACTTTTCTTCTTTGTCATAGAAAATGCGTTATGAGTTTATAACAAGAATCGTCATTTCTCTTAATACTGTCTGACAAAATTCGGACACATTTAAAAATCACACAATACAACTAAACAACGAAGTCTGTTGAACAAGGAATTTATTCCTTCAGGTTAGAAGCGATGGACGAGGTGAACAACGTACTTATTATCTCCGAAGAATTAAAAACAACTTGGTAGACGGATATTATTTTGTTTTGTTAGTTAATTATATGGAAGCATATCAAAGTATTGAGTTACTATAACAGTTACTAAAACTCTTTAACCCCAATGGTTTTCTAGATATACATCAATAAAAAATATAGGAATATTCAGTGAAAATACTAATGATCATGCTAATATTTCCTCAAATAATTTTTAATTCTCAAAATTCGCTAGTGATACAGGTTTCCGGACTCTTCCGTTCTCCCCCATTTATGTTTGTGTAACATGCGCAATTTTTCCAACGTTCACTCCTATATTTCAGTACATCAGTTCGTAATAATGGGCACTTCATTTCAAATCGTAACTCGGTGAATCTACGATTTGGTAAATTCAAGCGAAATCTCATTTCATTTACTCGTGTTACAATTTCACAGCATTCGCTTCCGTCATACAGTAGTGACATGATCCTCAAAGGACGAATATCATGAAGAAAACCGTTAACTACATTTGGTATCTTGCTATATAGCTTGCACGATGTTTCACCATCCCATGAGTAAAACAAACTTCATAGATACACGCCCAAAATTCGCAAAGTGCTTCTAGAAGTAGTTTCATGGTTTAAGAATAAACACTTTACATACGTAAATGCGACGAACGTTTTACCACTTGTTTTACAGTTAACAACTATCATACGTTTCTTTCACCAAGTCTCAAAACTTTTCAAACAAGTTCAAATCATTTTCACTCATAAAACACCATTTCAATATGGATTTATTTAATATTAATACGTCCGATACAATTACGTCTTGCAAGCATTTACTTTCCGTACACTCCGGGAAATTAAACTAACATAATGCAAACCGCACACGTTTCAGTGGAAGCAGGCAATGAAAAGATTTGACTGTAGCAGATGCAACAACATGAAACCCTACGCGCCACGAAGCGAGCGGTTTGCCTGCCCGCCGACTACTGATTGCTGAGAGCGGTCCGTGCTGGTTAGCCCGCCTGCTCCTCTCCTGCGCCTGCCTGTGTCTTCCTCCATTCAACTCACCTTACCCCTTTTAACAGTATTTCGTTTAACTCGTACTGTTTCTTATACCAGTATCACCGTTCACTAAAACTGACTGGATGCTATTTTGTAACGTCCTTAGTTTTGTACGGTCCAAGGCGCGCAGAGCATTGGACGACTTACACAAAGGAGTGGTGGGTACGAACTACGCTCGTTGAATTCCCGCTCTTTTTGTGTGTTTTGCTGTGTATGAGATAGAGCTCTTGCGAGGAGTCCTACCGGAATGTCTGACAGATCTATTGCAACAGAGACCACTGTACAGTTAATAAGAACGGCGGAAGTAGATCGGCTCAGAAAACGTGTCTATTCCGTTTAAAGGGAGCATGTATTCATCTCAGTCAATTTTAATTAATAGGACTAGCCGTAAGAGAGCCGGTCACGGTAGCCGAGCGGTCTAAGGCATGTACTGTTTTCGCTCGCTTGGAAACCGGAATCGTGGGTTCGAATCCCACTCAGAGCATGGCTGTTTAGTTGGTGCGTGTGCGTTTTTCTGTGTTTGTGTACAGGTAGAGGCCTTGCGACGAGCTGATCACTCGCCCAAGGAGTCCTACCGCATGTGTAAGATCTAGAAAACCCGAAGTGAACGGAGAAGTTCATGGAGGTAGGCCTAGGCCCACTGGGGCTGTAGTGCCAAGAAAAAAAAAGAGAAGAAATTAGTAAGAGAGGAAGACAGACGGGCTACTGTCTGGACATAAGCGATTCAATCCCCGGCAACGAAAAAAATACAATTAAACTTTAAAATTTGTTCTTTTGATCGGGTTCATTTTTATGATGCATTATGTACATGTATTTAAATGGTGATTATTCTAATTTGATGATTCTGTTTCAGGAATTTCAGGGCTTCCACATGACAGAAAGCACACGAGCGTGCATTTGATTAGGTCTTTGTTCGCATTAAAATTTCGCATATGTACTACAATTAGGGGACTGAGATATAAGCCTGCCCTTTACAAATTGCAGAGATGCTGAAGGTTGGGAAGCGATTACAGTTGTGAAATCTGATTGCACACGAAGGAACTGAATTCTGCATTATGATGCGTCACTGAATTCCTCAAGCAGCGATTCATATGAGATCCCGCCCACACCAACTCAGACATTTCAATTGTTTTTTTTTTTTCGTCCGGCTTCACAGGTCTCCCAGCATTCAGACTCGTATTAATAACGGGTTTCCTTCACTAGGCATTTATGGAAAACAATTCTCAGTACTCTTCAGTTTCGTGTACAGTTAATATGCGTATAATAAACTGTTGTGTTTCAGTTATTTGTTGGTATTATCTGTGGCAACTTATATCAATAGATATCTCTGTCGAACGGTGGCTACGGTAGGTGCAATTTTGATTTTGTGCGTTTATGCAACGACGCTCTCAGTGGATGAAATTAAATAGCGTCGAATTACAGGCTGACTAGTGAATACCACAATGAAAATGATGTAAGAGGAAACCAGTGTGGCGTAATTAAAGGTAAAAGGTAAAACTATCCCTGTAACAGGGCGTGAAGGCCCATAAAATTGTGAGACGTCGAGGCTCCCACATTTTCTAGACAGTCAACTCACAGATGGCGGTGAGATTGTCAGCCTTACGCACCGGCTGCCCTTTAACCCCCAGGAACATTCCTGGCACTCATTTCTGTTAGAGGCTGAGTCGAACCCAGGGCCATTGTGCGGCTAGAAGGATTAGGTCAATTGAAAAAATCCACCTCATGGGGACTCGAAACCGCGACCTTCCGGTTTGTAGCATATTGTCTCAACCAACTATGCTGCTGCGTTCCCCGGCGTGACCTAATTTGAGGTACTACATCGGAATTTTACTAAATGGACTCGGAAAACTCACAAAAAGTCTCAGTCAAGAAATCGGCTCTCAGAGCTGAGATTAGAATAGGGGGCCTCCGAAATATGAAGAAGTACTACCCTCTCGACAGCATCATTCGTTAGTCCCGGTTTCGATTCTCGGTCCGGAAACCTACTATCGTCTCAGACCATCTTGATTAGTTGAGTTGTTCATTTATTCGTTAATTTAATTATTAATTCCTTCTTTGTACGTGTTCTTACATTTTACTTGGATTTATGTTCGTTCCCCGTTGCCAAAAAGTTCCCCAAAAATGTAAAGGAATTTAAAATGTAGAGTAGAGAAATAGGAATACAAACTTCTAATGTCATGATGTTCTGTAACGTAGTAGTCTCCGTCCGGCCGTTATTTTGAGATGTGTTCTGACAGATGTCGATCTAAGAGGTGTAATTCACTCATTCAGTGTTTATACGCACTCAGTCATTTGTACGGTTTGTATAATGTCACATGATCGATGGTTATGATTACTGTTACAAATCATTCAAAAACACACAACCTCTTTCTTCCAATCTTCCTTCGCTTTCTATTTTACGATACCATTTCAACATTTAAATATTGGGAGTGTAAAAGACCATGAAAACACCGTTCAGAATAACTAGATGTCTGATAAAAACTCGAGCGAGTGACTTGTCTAATGTGAGACAAAAATTCTAAGACAATCAAGACCTTCGGTATACTCAGACGAGCATGAATCAAAATTCCTTCATAAAAGCAAGATGTCTCACATGCAAGCTACCTCATGGCACGAATATAAAATGTATAACAGAGGCCTAATGATCCAACCTTTTCATGTAACGACAGTTTTATGTAAATCCCAAGGTTGAAAACCATGTTTATACCTTCATAGTCATTTGTATCAATCTTCTGCATAAGATATCTTTACTTTCAATGAGGAAACGCTTTACTTTTGTGACTTACCCATACCCGTGTTGTTCAGATTAGGATGCTGTGTTGTAAGTTTCAATTCTTGCTTGTACTGAAGATGTTCGCTATTCGATATCCGAGGCATTTTCTATTCACTGATATTGAGATAGCGTAGTTGGTTGAGGCACGGTGTTACAAGCAGGAAGGGTGCAGGTTCGAGTCCCGATTAGGTTGATTTTTTCAACTTACCTAATCCTTCAAGCTGCACTATGTCCCTGGGATCAACCCAGTCTGTAATAGAAATGAGTACCAGGAATCTTCCGGAGGGGGGAAGGAGGTTAAAATGTGGCCGGCGTATAAGGCTGACAGCCTTACCGCCGTCTGTGAGCCGACTGTCTAGAGAAAATGTGGGATCCTCGACGTCTAACAACCCTATGGGTCTCCACGGGATGTTACAGGGATTCAGATACTAAGGCGAATGCTTGCAAAGTACTTCGATGTGTTTCATGGCTCCACCTTCTGTTCTCCATATCAACATATATTAATCCGGGAACCCCCTAATTTCATCACGTCTTCATAAGTTCGGTTACAAAAGTGTCGGAAGTTAAACTACAAAGACAAACCACAAACTCAAGTATTCCCATTAACGTCAGATTCATATCTCTATCTCATGCTGATACAAACAGCCTATCTGTATCCCGTTTAAACCTCGCTGTACAGTCAAATAAAGTGCCAAGTCTATGGATGTAAACAGCAAAGTGACAGCATGCAAGTAGAACGCAGCTTAATTTACCAAGTCCATAGCGTGGAGCGAGAAACTAACAGTCAAGCAGATGGTCATTAAATTCCCCGAAGGCTCATAATCCCGCTTAGAAGACCCGGCCACTGTGCATTAACCTGACACTAATCTGAAACCACTCAACGGATAGTTTACTTAGGACACAGAAACTAACAGGTACGATCTTGAGGCTACTTAAAATAGACTTTCACTTTCTACAGCAAAATGTAACAGTTTTCAAATATTTTTCGGAGAATCCATAACATTTTCATCCCAACAGCCTTTTGTTGGCAGCTGCAGCGAGTTCTCCTGCAAAGTAGAAAATGGATATCTCTTATCTATTTGTCTGTACGTCTATCCGTCCGTCCGTCTATCTGTCTATGGCTGTACAGTCCTTGTCGAACTTGGCCGCTTTTTCAGTTGCTTAATTTATAGATTTGACAGGACTCCTTGGACGGGGAATCAGCCCGTCGCAAGGCCGCTACCTAAACAGAGAACAACACAAAAACAGAATAAACGCACACAGACATCCATGCCTCTAGTGGGATTCGAACCCACGACCCCACTGTTTGAGAGGACGAAGAGAGTTCATGCCTTAGACTGCCCGGGAACTGTGACCGGAACGAGGATAATAGGACACTAAATTTCCAGGCCATGAGTCTGAAGAAAATTAGTACCGTGTGAATGGTTCGAATATTGCATCATACGCAGACGGCAAAGCCTCATCAAAACATGAATATGAAAGGAAACGTACTCTTCGAGCTGAGCCTTGCTATAGCATTTACCCACACCAGGGGTAACGTTCCCACCTCATGACTTAAGGTACGCGGGTTCAAAAACCCGGCGGAAGTCGTCGAATTTTTAAGGGCGGAAAAATTCAGGGAACAAGTCCTCCGGGAGGGACTTTAAGCCGTGGGTCCCGTGTCGTATATTTTCGGCACGTAAAAGAACCTCATGTCTCTAGAAGACCTCTGAGCAAAATTACGCAAAGTTTCCCGCCCAACTAGTTTCCAATTCCTCCGGTAGATGGGGGAAGTATCAGGTAACACTGCCAGAGGAGGGGGGACCTCTCTGACAGAGAGGGACTAAAGTATTGGATACCACTGCCAAGTAGAGGGTAGAAACCTTGCTGGCAGAAAGGGACTAGGAACCCCTGCCAGAGGAGGGACGACCTCGCTGACAGAAAGGGACTAACTATTAGATACCACTGCCAGTAAGAGGTTGGAACCTCGCTGGCAGAAAGGGGCTGATAGTAAGCACCAGTACCGGTAGGGTATGGAGACAGTAGAAATTAAAGGGGGACGCACAATGGACCAGTAACCGGTCTAAGTGCATGGGGAAACCCACCCCCTCAATACGGAATACCCAAACCAGACGCTGCGTCTTTCTGTGGACGTACATTATTTGTGCCGAGCATGGCTGTATAGGCGTATCGCTGAAGACTTGTATTCGAGGAATATCGTCTTCGAATCTCGGTGAAGCTACCAGTAAGCCTGAATCAGGCCCGTCAAAATTTTTGTGCAGTGTATGAAATAGGTCACTATCGGTTGAG